AGTAAATAATTTCCCTAATTTTGGTTGTACTAACAATTGTTCATGTTGCTTTTTAATGTGTACTTCTTGTAAACAAATTATGTCAAATTTTAATTTCCCTAATTTATGAAAGATCTTCCTTCTCTTAGCAGCTGAATTCAGTCCATTTATATTCATTGTAATCAGTTTTTTCTCTTCCATGGTTATATTTTATATTTAGGTTTAGCCGCTCTCGTAGATCTTGGTTCACGTTGGTCTTTAATATCCACCTGTCCACCTACTGCACCTTCTTCTTTTTCAATCTACATTTGTTCCTCTTGAAATTCAATTAATGAAACCTCTTTTTCTGCCTCTTCTTCTCTCCTTCCAAAAAATTCTGCGTAAAAAAGTTCTGCTTTTTCAATTGAATCAATTCTGTGTCTCTGTTCTTGCCATGTAAACATCAGTCCTTCTGGGATCAGCCATCTGTAATTCACCTCCTTTTTCAATAGCACTTTGGTCAGAAATTGATATTCTCTTCTCATCTCTCTCACTCTTCTGGGTATTTTTTTTAAGACCAAGATTTCTTTGCCTTTATATTTCAACGTCTTCTCTCTTGCCGCTTGTAAAATTTGTGTCTTGATGGATTTTTTAGTAAATCTAATGTGGACTTCTCTGGGTAAATTATTTCTCATCGCATATCTTGTAAAAACTCGGTATATCTCATCTACTCCATCCATCATCTTTTCCTCTGTTATTTCCAAAGCGTCAGCCAAGATTTCTATCATTATCGCAGCCAAATCTTGCCCTTTTTCTTCCTCTATATTTTGAAATCTGAGATAAAATTCTGACCTCTCCATCTCCCACTTCAGCATCCCACTTTTTTCTTGTTCAACCACTGTTAGTCTGCTATCAATATTTCCAATCTTCTCCTCTCTTCGTTTACCCTCTTCTTCAACTTTTGGGAGTCTCTCCTCGTACTTCACCATCATCTGTTGAATATTTTCCACTTTTTCATCAGTCTTCCCTGTTCTTTGTTCAGTGGTGTCTGTTTTTATCTTAAGGTCTTGGATTCCTTGCATAATCATCTGTAAGGTTACTTTTTCTTGTTCTTTGTCTTGCTTTAACATTACCTGAATTGAACATTGTCCTCCAGATGGTGGGGAGGCAGAAGTAGACACAGAGGCACCCGGAGGTATGAGTTTCCTACTCATTTTAAATGGTTCAAAATCTTCAAGTTCTTTCAAATTTTAATCCAATTAGGAAAGTAGCCAATTATAATCCAAAATGGGAAAGTCCAATAGTAAAAAGCCCAATAATAAAGGAGAGAAAAGAAAAAAAGAAAAGATTCTTCAGGTTCTTCCTGACCCTAATCCAATTATAAAATAGTCCACAATAAAAAATAAAAATAAAAAGAAGACCCAATAATAATAATAATAATAAAGGACAAAGCAAAAAAAAAGATTTCTTCAGGTTCTTCACACCTTAATCCAGCCAGAAAATCTCAATTAAAAAAAAAAGAAAAAAGGAAACCAAAATAATCCAAGAGCATAAATAGAAAAAGCAAAAATCCCAATGAAAAAGGAAAAAAATAAAAATAAAAATAAAAATAAAAATGAAAAATTCTAAGGCTTCCCCTTGAAAATTAAAAGTAAAAATAAAGACATAGCTAAAATAAAAATTTACAATAATGCTGGTGGGGGGGGGGTAGCGAAACTAAAAAAAGATTAGAAAGAAAAAAAACAACACACTGCACTCTGTTTAATTGTCCAAGGCTCTTGTTGTGACTCTCTTCCCTTTCCCACAAGCTTCAAAGCCAAGCCATAGATATTTAATTGTTGATAGAAATCCAGAAGAGCACCTGTAATAATATTCTGCTGTGCTCTTCCCTCTATCTTATCAAATTAGAATGTCCTTGAGAAGGAGTCTTTCACAGTTCTCTCCACTTCAAGTAAAATATTTGCAAGCCTCTAGTTGGCAGTGTTACAAAGTTTCTTAGTTCTCACTTTCCCCCCTCCTCTCAGAACAGCATAATTAAAGTAAAAAAAAGCACAAGAAATATATACATATATATACAAAGAGAGAAGTAACCAAAGGGAGCCTCTAGCCTAGAAAAAAAAAAAATTAGAAAATCCAAAGGGAGAATAAGAAATATATATATATATATATATATAAAAGAAAAAAAACAGTCCGGTTATCTACTAAGTAACAATGAAGTCCGGTAGCAAAAAATAAATAAATAAAATAAAGCCTCGCTTTGACGTCTCCCTTAAAAAACGCCGCTTGTTCAGTTTTGTCAAAAATCACAAAGATTTCTTCTAGCAATCAAAGTGTCCTTTCAAGCCTCAAAACATTGAAAAAAAGAAGTTTCTCACCCAGCCGACACACTTTCTCTTTCAGCCTCTTCCTTTCTGGAGCTGCCCCGACTTCAGCAGCTTAGGGGCTGCCTCTCCGCCGCCAGCAAAAGGGACTTCTCCTGGGTCATCCAGGGACTTTGCAGTGTCCCTGGGATCCACAGGGTATACCCCTCACGATAACCGTCCCTACGGGACGGTTTAGGTCCGTTTGGACCGGCCAGGGGCGAAGATATTGGCTGCAATCGTAGAGCTCGATTGCAAGCCGTACCGTCACGGCGCCAGCTCCTCCCCTCAACAGCAGCAGGAATTGTCTATGCACAGCACTAGAAAAATGAAGAAACTTACAGGAGAAGATGTAATTAAAAAACATACAAGATTATGCAGACAGATTGACATTAAAGATAAAAGAAAAAGAAGATATGGAATATTTTCAAACATAGGACTTGTTTTACCAATGGTTGGATAATAAGGTAGAAATTAGGAACTGAAAAAGTATTATTATACAAACAAAATGATCCAGACAATGTGCTGTTCACGAAGTACCTATGTATGTAAGGAGCAAATGTATAAATAAACTATTTAAAAAAGTATTGTTACTTGTAATTTGAACAAAAGAATACAGCTTCATCTGACTGGATAATCATCCAGGAGGTATGGTGTAGAGCAGTGGTTCCCAAACTTTTTAAGTCTATCGCCCCCTTGGTGCTACAAACTCATCCTCGGTGACTCCCACCCATGGGTGGGATTCAAATTTCTGTGGGCGTGACCTAATTTGAGGGTGTGGCTTGCTGGTCATGTGACTGGGTGAGCGTGGCCAGGTGACTGGCAAATCAAATACAAGTTGTCCTCACTTAATGGCCGGTGGTTTAGCAAGTGTTCTAATTTATGACTGGCTTCCCCAGAGCTACTTGACCTGTTTTTAGAGTTTTGATCAGGGGTCTATATCCCATCCCTACCTGTGTGTGAGAGAGAGAGAGGGAGAGAGAGAGATTGGATTAGATCTCTCTCTCTCTCTCTCTCCCCCACCAACGCCAGAAAGCCACTGTCAGTCAAAATTCATATTAGTGGTCTCCGGGATTTAAAAATATGAGTTTTGTGGTCACTGAGGTCCAAAAGTTTGGTGACCCTTGATTGAAAGGGGTGAGCCTGAGAGAGGGAAAGAGAGAGAGAAGAGAAAGAGAAAGAGAGGAAGAAAAGAAAGAGAGAGAGAAAAGGGAAAGAAAGGAAAAGGGACAGACAAAGAGGGGGGATGGAAGGAAGGGACAGAAAGAAAAAGAAATAAAGGAGGGAGGGAGGAGAAAGATAATGAGATATCTACTCTAGTCCAATCACCTGCTCCAGCAGTGTTAGAAGGGAGTGTGTGTGTGTGTGTGTGTGTTCTTGTAATTTACCAGTACATTTTAGTTTTGCTTTCTTCAGAATTGGCACTGTTAATACATTGGGGAAAAGTAATTTTTAGGGTGGAGATCTGGTCCAATGGATCCTGTTTAAAGCCTCAACAAAATGTGAGTTTCCTGATAGTCTTGACCATGTTTCGTCCACAAAACCTTTAAAAGAAGCCAAAGAGTTTTCAATGTGCTGGCAAAGATGTTTCAATGTGGAAAAGGGCCTCAGTTTAAACTAGCCCTCATTCAATCTGATGCATCAGGTCTCTCTCTCTCTTTCTCTCTCTCTCCCTCCCTCCCTCCTTCCCTCCCTCCCAGACTGGCTTTGCTCTACTTTCCTGATGTGCCTGCACAGCAGGTGCTTCGAACCTGGATGAATGGATGGAGAGGGGGAGAGAGAGAGAGAGAGAGAGAGAGAGAGGGAGGGAGGCAGGCAGGCAGGCAAGACTGACAGACAGACAGATAGATTGATAGGTAGATAGATAGGTACATAGGTAGGTAGGGAGACAGAAAGACAGACAGGTAGATAGATAGGAAGGCAGGCAGGCAAACAGACAGACCTTTTGGATGGATGGATGGACGGGTGGACGGACAGACAGACAGACAAAATGCAACAGCGGCGGCACTTTGGGGTGGCGGTGGCTTTTCCCAATGTGCTGCCGCATTGGAGGTGCTGGCTCCGGAGCGGTGCTACAGTCAGTGGGTGAACCTGCAGGGCCGGCTGGTGCCTTGAACGCCCCCTGCCTCCTCTTGGTGCCCCTGTGCCGGCCCCCTTGGGGATGCTCAGAGGTGGCAGCGGGCGGCGCGTTGAACGTGGCCGCGGTGGTACATAACGTGCCACCGCTTCCACATTGGAGGCACCGGCTCCGGAGCAATACTACAGTCAATGGGTGAACCTGCAGGGCCGGCGCCTCGAATGTCCCCCTGCCACTTCTTAGCATCCCCAAGGGGGCCAGCAGAGGGGCGCTAAGAGGCGGCAGGAGGCGGCATGTCAAATGCGGCCACGGCAGCACATAACGTGCCACTGCTTCCACATTGGAGCGGTGCTACAGTCAATGAGTGAACCTGCAGGGCCAGACCCTCGAACGTCCCCCTGCTGCCTCTTAGCGCCCCCCTACCGGCCCCTTTGCCTCTTAACACCCCCCTAAGGCATCCCACCGCCCCCCAGGGGGCAGTACTGCCCACTTTGGGAACCACTAGTTTATAGAATCCTGCAATGTACCTGTGGACAGACTTGATGATCTCCCACATACCTCCCAACTTGATAATTCTATGACTATTTTTATGCTTTTTTTGCTAGGTGGATATGAATCTAAATGAGGAAAAGCAGCAGCCTCTAAGGGAGAAAGACATTAGCATCAAAAGAGAAATGGTGTCTCAGTACCTGCATACTTCCAAAGCTGTGAGTTCTTGAGTTGTGGAGTGGTCAAATGTATAAAATACTTCTAGGGCTTACTTGATTTATGTTACAGGATAAGTGTCAGCTATCTGAAAATTACATGTAAGAGGTAACTGTCAAGATTAACTGGAAATCGGGCATCTATCCTTGTCTATACTCTCCGATACTGTTCTCTGATTGTAGAGCACAGTATTTAATGTGATCGCTTATTGACTGGCTTCTCTAAATAAAGGAAGAGCTGAAGATTTTTTAATGGCTTCAGACTATAACATGGAACAAACTCAAGTCATTAGTTGAGCTTAATGCTTGTTCAGTATAGTTACTTTAGTCACTTTACAGTTTGAACATTATTTAACTGCTGTGACTCTAAAAGTAAATGGAAGGTTGCAGTATCTTATAGCTGTTTAAGAAGCAGGGAATCAGAATATGGCACTTTATTTAAAAAAAAACTTGACTGTTAAATTGTGTCATAATAAATAAGGTTCAGCCTGGGCAGTATTTGTCTGGTATTGAACTAAAAGTCCTAACATCCCTCACCGTGCTTCTGAGAGATCTGAGAAAGCAACTCACTATCAGATGTACTCAAATAGACCTAATGATTGCCCAAAAGTTATTGTTGAAGCCACAAGTTTTCCATTGTCCATTTTCATCTCTGGGATTATCCCCACTGATAGTCCCAGATGCCACCAATAACTAGTACATCCAGTACTGTTGCCAGTTTTTATTGGACTATATGACCATGTATAAGAGAAATGCGTTCCTTCATAGGTGGTTGAGGGATCTCTTCTATATTTTTTCCTGATTTCTTTGATCAGTAGAACTCCTGATAAGATTTCTTACAACTCAGGACAATTTCTCTCTTTAATATCGTAATATATAATTTTGTAGGTTTTTTCCAACCTACGGTCTAGAAATGTTGGTTGAGGTTATGGAATCAAGGTATCAAAATTAATTACATTCTAGAGACTTTTGATTCTGGATTGGTTAGTTTCTAAGCCATTGGGATCCATGCCTCTTACTACTTCATAGTTCTTTTCTATGCTAGCTGCTTTTTTATGGAAGCTCTATTAATAAATCTTTGGGCAATCTTGAAGAGTCATAAAGGAATATTAATTTTAGTGTTTTTTAAAATCATTCTATTGGTGAAATATACTGTAACTAACCCAAATAAACAATACCGCACTGATATGATATTAAAGCATGCATTAAACTGATTAAAGATAAACTTATTAAAGATAATCAAGCAGCACATTTGTGAGCAGGAAATAAAAAGCAAGATTACTAGAAGCCTGCATGGATTTTTTAAAAACAGCATACCAAACAAACCTTATTGCCTTCTTTGACTAGGTGATTAAATAAGTGGATAAGGGGAATGCTATGGATGTAGTTTACTTAGACTTCAGTAAGGCATTTGATAAAGTAGTCTACAGCCTACTTGATAAGATAGAACAATGTGGAATAGACAGTACCACCAACAAATGGATTCCAGTGAAACTACATCCACATGGAGGAAAGCATGCAGTGGATACCTCAAGGTTCTGTCTTGGGGGCAATAATCTTCAACATCTTCATAAATGATCTAGATGAGAGGATAGAAGGGAAAGTCATCAACTTTGCATATGACAAGCTGAGGGGAACAGCTAACACTTTAGGAGATGAGATTCAAAATTCAGAGAGATCTTGACAGACTTGAACACTGGGCCTTATCTAATGAAACTCACTTTAGTGATGAGAAAAGTAAGGTCCAACACACAGACAAGAAAAACTAAATGTACAGTTAGTAGTAACATAGTAACTGAGAGAGATCTAGGTAAGGGATGGGCTTCAAAAAATTTAGCAACCTGTTCTCTGCCCAGTTGCTGGGTAGGTGTGGCTATGGTGGGCATGGCCTAGTTGGCCTCCAGTACCATGGCAGGGAGGAGTATTTTTGCCTTCCCTGGGCTCCAGAGGCTTTCTTCGAGCCTCCAGGAGGGAGAAAATGGCCTCCCCAGACTCTGGAGATCCATTTTCAGCCTTCCTGAACTTCTGGGAGGCCTGTTTTTTGCCCTCCCCAGGTTCTGGAGACTTTTCTCAAGCCTCTGGGAGGGCAAAAACTGCCTCCCCTGGCTCCAGAGGCTCTCCAGAGGTTGTAAACAGGCCCCTTCCCAGCCTTTTGGAGCCTCCAGAAGGCCCATTTTCCTCCTTCCCAGGCTCTGGAGGCTTTCTTGACCCTCTGGGAGGCCCATTTCCCCTCCAGGCTCCGGAGGCTCTTCCAGAGCCTTCAGGAGGCCCATTTTTTGCTCTCCCCAAGCTTTCGTGTGAGCCCTACACTTACCTGGGATCCAAAACGTGGACTCCTGGGAGGGGTGGGGTGGGGTGGGCAAGGCCAGCCAGTCATTGCAACTACCAGTTTGCTGAACCAGATGTAAAATTAACATTTAGTTCGCCAAAACCAGTGTGAACTGGTAGCAGCCCACCCCTGATTTAGGTGTCCTGGTACAGGGGTCACCAACCTTTTGGACCTCAGGGACCACCAAACTCATAATTTTAAATCCCGTGGACCAGAGACCCTGAGAAAATCCGCCCAAAAGTCTGCAGGAAAATTTCCCACCCTGTTTTCCTACTGATTGATCATTCTTTATTTGGGATCGCAGGATACCATCTCCAGCTTTTTGGGTGGGGGGGAAGAGAGAGAGAGAAATATTTTTGTCTTCATGCAAGGAAAGCAGCAGAAGCAGCAGAAGTCCTTCTTTTTCTCCCCCCCAAACTCTGCCAGAAATGAGTCTTTGTGAGACTTGTTGTGCCGGTGCAGCGCCTTGGAGCAGGATGTCTTGCAGGGTCTTAAAGACTCATTTCTGGCAGAGTTTGGGGGAGAGAAAGAAAGACTTTTGCTGCTTTCCTTGTGTGCAGCCAAAAGTAGAAGAAGAAAGAAGTGGAAAGAAGCAGCCCGGTGGCCAGGCAAGGTGCGTGGGGCAAGTTCCCCCCCTCCGCCCTTTCCCCCCTCCCCTCATTACCTCATGTTGTTCGCAATGCAAGCCTTGTGTTCCCGTGGGCCATCTGGGCAGTGCAGCCTTGTGTTCCCACGCAGCTTGGATTAATTGCTTTGTGGGGTGCTTTGGTGGGGGACCTTTCTCTGCGAACCACCAAAATTTTCTCGCAGACCACCAGTAGTTCCCGGCCCACTGGTTGGCAACCACTGTCTTAGTAGACTACCACTTAAGAAGGAGCTAGCAGTGTGCTGCAGCTGTCAAAAAAGCCAACATAGTTTTAGGATGCATCAACAGAAGGATAGCATCAAGATCAAGTAAAGTAGTAGTACCACCTCATACTGCATTGTTAGGGCCAAACTTGGAATATTATGTCCAGTACTGGTCATCATGATACAAAAAAGATGTTAAGATCCTAGAAAGAATGCCGAGAAGAGCAATAAAGATTACAGGTAATCCCTGGGTTATGAGTGTTCCCTTAGCGAATGTTTGAAGTTACGCAATAAGCATATTAAACAGTAATAACTGATCCCACATCCCTGAAATTAATTCCAGACTGGTATTTTTACAAGAAATCGGAGAACAAATTTCTATTGTGAACTGTAATTATAAAGTAAACATGCAATGTATTGCCAATTATATTCTGATATACGGTATTTTTGAAATAAAGTATAGTGGAATAAATAATAAAACTTTAGGATGGAGAAAATAGTATAAAGTCAGTATTCAAATACTGAATAATAAGTAGCCTTAAATTATAGCAAATAGAAAAGGAATATAATTCTGGAATGTAATTGGATATAGTTTAAGAATATCCAATTGAACCATTTTTAAAAGCTGAAAACTTTGTTGTATTCATCTGTTGAGTGTTAGAGAAAAAATCAATTCAAGAGTTTATTCTGTGCTATTGAGACATATTTAATTTAGAAAGAATGGATATACATTTATCATTATTTTTTTGTTTGTAGGGCATGAGTCAAAAGGAGAGCTCGAAATCTCCTATTATGTATATTCAGGAACTAAAATCTGGTGTTAAAGATGCACAGCTCCTTGGATGTTTGGAGTCTCTACGTGTGTCACTCAATAACAATCCTGTCAGGTAATGGTTTAGATAGAATTTTGTTGATTGCTAAATACTGCAATATTTAAAATTCGTGGGCATCATGCATGTCTGGAGACAGATGTACAGCTAGTCCTTGATTTACAACTGTTCATTTAATGGCTGAAGTTATGATGGCATCAGAAAAAGTGACTTATGACCTGTACTCACACTTATGATGGTTGCACCTCTCCCACAGTCACATGATCACATCTTATCCAGCTACTGGGTGCAGCACTCTGGTTATGTGATTGTGATTTGCGATCCTTTTTGCCAATTTCTGGCATAAAAACACCCATTGGAGAAGCTGGATTCACTTAACAACTGCATGATTTAATTAATGATTATGGTGATTTGATTAATGACCACCATAAAAATGTTAATCAGGTCCAAATCGACCTATGACCACAGCAGTTTACAATGGAAATTCCAGTCCCAATTGTGGTTGTAAGTCGAAGACTACCTTTATGCAATTGCCAGTGTAATGAGAAAATGAAGTGGTAATTATTTTATTTAGGTAACAATGTGTTTTATTCTGCAACAATTGCAGCTGGGTGCAAAATTTTGGAGCTGAAGGTCTGAATTGCTTGCTGGACATATTGAAAGGACTTCATGATGAAAAGGACGAGTTTTCTGGGTAAGAAGCACTTGAGTTAAAATAGCTTAACTTGAGGTAAAATGATGATAAAATTTATCCATATATATTTGTATATTATAGATTTGTGTACAGTGGAACCTTGGGTCATGAACGCTCCTGTTCATGACCAAATCTAGTGGCAAACAAAAAATCCACCCAATTTTTGAATTGGGTCACGATTCAAAAATCGGGTGGTGAACAAAATCACCACCTTTCTGTGCTGATTTCCCCTTTGCTGCCATTTTTTTTTGACTGTGCACATGTGCAGTCGGTTGTGCTTCCGGACATGACCAAATGGATTACAGTCGTGACCCGAGGCTCCACTATATATGATGTATATATAATAAACTTAGTATAATATAGATAGAATATGCTTAATTCACAATCCCTCTAGATGGAATGCTTGCACGCATGCAGCTAGAGAAATTTGTGTATATATACACACATATTGTGCCTCATTTGTGTATACATGTGTGTATATATTATATGGATTGCAATTACCATTCTGATCCAGTGATGGTTGGTAGATAGATTTTTGTTATTGTAAGGATTGCTTCTTCTATCTTAAGAAAGTGAAGACTCTTGAAATGAAGTATTTCAAAAGGAACCTTTTATTAAGCAGAAGTGAAAGCAAGTCATTCAAAGCAATGTCTGAATACCCTTAGGCAAGACAAGTAGAATTAAAGCAGTAGAGACCCCTCCCTTTAGCCAGCCAATCCACACGTGTGAAGATGTTATTGTATTGGCTGCTCTGAGAAACAGATAAGCATACATTCCCATGGCCATCTTCCACTGGGTATTAAAGTGAAACAACCCACATGGTCCTCCCTCCTGTACATTCCCCAAGAGGTGAGAAAATCTCAGGGCACTTTGGTGACAGGATACAAGTTATAAAATACCAGTTGTCACAGGCAATACGAATGAATCAAATCCAAGCCCCCGCTTCTCCCAGTTGAATGGCAGTATCGCTTTTAGGGATCTGACATTTTTTGACTTCTTAGTGAGGGCTGAGAGGATGTTATTGGCGCAGAATCACCAAGTGAGTTTCTGTTCCTAAAGGAACCTGAGAACCTGAGTCTCCATAACTAGTCCAGGATTGGTTTTCATACACTGGCTTTCTTAAGTAGGTAGGTAGATAGGTTGGAAGATTGGAAGGTTGAATGAATATAGCTTTTATTTGCTTGCTGGAAACATGTTTTAATTGTGTGTTCTATTTGGGTATACAAAGATTAAAGGAAAACTAAGGACAGTTGGATAGGATAAGGATAAATTGAATATATGGATCCATAAGATTGGATATTTTATTCATTTTTATTTTATTTTATTTGGTTTGTCAATTGCTTACAATTATCATAGGTATAAGTAAAAACATAGTGATGAATACACAGATACATATAAGAAAAATAAAAGAAACAATAGGACAGGGACGGTAGGCACGTTGGTGCGTTTATGCACGGCCCCTATAATAATGGAATATAATATATTCCATATATAATATATATAATAGAATATAGAATATAGAATATAATATATATAATATATAATATAATGGAATTTGTCTTGTGGATAGTATTCTTATCCTGTCATATTTTCCCCTGACGACTCTACTGAATTTTGATATAGTTGGGAGCATTTTGCTATAATTTTTTATGGTGTTGCATGTCTTTAACGTTCTGGGATGGAAATCTAACATGTATAAATAGATAATTCTGTGTGTAGGATTAATATTTCAGTTTTGTTTCCCTCTTTTTTCTAGGTCATATGACTTCAGGATTGAACATGAAATTATTAGATGCTTAAAAGCTTTTATGAACAACAAAGTAAGTCCCCTATTTTCTCCATTTAGAAACTTGTGGATATAATTTCTTATATTTAATATATAATGTTAAATTATTAGAAAGCAAAAAGTACAAATGGGCAGGAATTTAAGTCTGTTCTTTTTCAGAAGTATTAGTCCTGCTTTAGACAGAGCAGCTAACTGGAACCTTGGGCCAGTCACTTTCTCTCAGCCCTAAAAAGGAAGCAGTGTCTAACCACTTCTGAAAATTCTTGATTCACAAGGACTTTATTCCAGCTGAACAACTGTGGATATTAAGATCTTGAAGAATGGCATTGTGAAAAGAAGTTTACTCATGCAAATGTCTGTCTACAATTTTGCATATTTATAAAATATAGAGAAAAAGCTGCCAATACATGAAACTCTTTACCTCAGAAAGCATGCTCTGATTTGTATTTTCAGGCTGTGAATACTTAAAACCAGGGTTAACAGCCACCTGAAATATAAATATTTAAAACATTGAAACAGAAAATATAATTCAAGTAGAAACAAAAAATCCTGAAAGGTAATCTGAATGAAAATTACAACTAATGTTATTTTCTATAATACTGCTAAGACTTAATTCTAAATTTAGAATTGTACATAAGAAATTGTGAAAAGATAAATAAAGAGACAAGGATAAATTTTAGGATTATGGGAGTCTAAAATGAGATGAAGATAACTCTAAGTTAAGAAGAAAAATCATAGTGGAAAGATTAGGTTACATTAAAAAGGAATATATTTACTGAAAGAAAGTAGAAAAATAAAATAAGTTTCTCAAAGCAAAAGAAATCAGGAACAAAATATTACACATTGGGTATCATCATAGAAAATGATGCTCTAAATTTACAAGCAAGAATCATAATAAAACAAGAATGGGTGAGATAATGACTTCAGACTTTAACACTATCTAAATATGTTAAAGACATTTACAAGTCAACAAAATTAATTGTGGCTACATATACACAAAAATCCTTGACCTCCTTGATCTTTTGTCCTAGTTTATTCAAACAATTTCACTGCAGATAAAGCATTCCTAAACAGAATGTTGGTAGGAAAACACTCAAAAAATGAGAAGAGTCTAATCAGTTTTTCTGTGAGAGTTATTTGTGAGGAGATTATTAATGATTATGTGAAGTAATATGAACATCGAAAAAATACTATTGAGAACTGAGAAAAGGAACATTTAGGCATAAAAAAACCCAAAATAGGAACGAATGCTGAGTGAACTGTAAAGTAAATATATTTGAGAGGAACAGAAAGAATAAAATCAATTGTGCAAATAGTGGTACGATAATGGAGTTTAAAGTATGAAATTATGTGAAAAAGAGAATGTTGTAGCATTCTGTCTTTAGGAAAAGTTCTACCAAGGATATACTTGGTCAGATTTTTGACCATTTATCAAATGGTCATATTTACAAATTTACTTGTGAATAGTAAAATTAAGGGAATAAACTATATAATTTGTAATAGTTTATTCCCTTAAATTTACTATTCACAAGTAGATTTTTATATTAAACTTCAAACTCATTTTGTTTATTGCATCAATTAATTTGTATATGTTTCACTCCAAGTCAAGTATATGGCATTATCTATATCCTACAAAACTCTAGATTTAAAACTTTAAAACACTGATTCCTGTAATCCTTAACTGGGTACTATAGGGCAAAAGTTTTTAAGTGAAGGTACATTAAATAGGCTATCTTGCAATATGTGTCTGAAATCCATGACTCCCATGGAATTGAAATTTGGCAAATTTTATATAAAATATAAACATTGTCATGTTAAATATAAACATTATCATAAATCAATCTACAGCAACACAAAACATCAGATTATTTCCTCTGATATTTGACAGTGCTATACAGTTCAACATTGGATATCATCTAGGCCAGGGATGTCAAACTCAATTTCATGGAGGGCCACATCCAGAGGTGGGATTCAACCAGTTCGGACTGGTTCAGGCGAATCACACGACTGACTGGCCCTCCTGCCATGGCCCACCCTATCTTGCCCATCTTCGCCTTGGGTCGGAGGATGCGCCAGTCCCTGGCTCTGACCTTCCCCAGGGCCTCTGCCCGCATGCCGCCCATTTGCCCTTCGCCTGAGGTTGGTGTACGTGCCAGTTCCTGCCTTTCTAAAGGGACACCTCCCTCCACCGCCCCACTTATTCCCACAAGTTTCCATTGCGGTCTCACTCTTTGCTGAATCCGCTTGCTTGCCTCCACCCCATTTCACCTCCTTCAGAGGCCCCTTATTCACTCTCCCCACTTCTTCCCCCACGACTGCCTCTTTCTTTGTCCTGCGACCTTACCTTCTTCCTGCAACTACTAGTAGAGGGGAAGGCAAGCCAGGGCTGAGCCATTGCCGCTCATCTCCCTGCCAACCCGCATCTCACCCCCCCATCCAGATTCTCCACAGTTGCTGGGGCTCGCCTGCCAACGGGCAGGGGAGCAACCAGGGAGCATGAGGCTACACCGCCCACATCGCCCCTCTGCCAGCCACACCTCCGTCACCCACCCACCGTCCCGAGCACTTCGGATGAGTGTGGGCTGCTGCTGTGAGAATGGTACGAACCCCATGATTTGGAAGGTAAGGCTAAGGGCGGGGAAGGAAGATCCGCTCTGGGCTTGCTACGTTCAGCCAAAGGGCTGCCTCGGTTTGGGGGAATGAGACATGATGAGACTTGGCTGCCTTTCAGGCTGTCCAGCTTTGGGACTTCCGAGTGGGAGGCATGAGAGAAAATTTCTCCCCCGAGGGCTGTCTGCTTGCCCATTCACTGACTGGGCTGGCCTGCAAGAAGCAGTTTCCTCCGAGTTCAACTTCTGCCTTGACAAAATGTTGTGGTCTGCTGGAAGCCTGTGGAGCTGGCAGCAGATTCAGACAGTTGGGAGGAACATGGGCCAGTCCTGGAGTATGGGGAGGGCTCGGACGAGGGATCTGCATCCGACACAGAGATGGGGCCAAGGCCATCTGAGAGTTATATGCTGACTCTGGAGCCTCCAGAATCTGACATCAGCAAGGCAGAGGAACAGGGGGAGCCTGTTCCCAGTGTGCACTTGCGCAGAGCTGCCATGAGGCAAGAACAGTTAAGACAAAAGGGGCAACTTGGGAATAAGGCTTGGAGATGATTGGCCCCTCCCATAAGATATACAGGAGGAGCAAAGGGACATGAGCCTTTGCAGGAAGCAACTTCGTTTGTTCTGGTCAGTTTAAACTCTGAAGCTCCATGTTGACTTTGTGCTCCATTTGGCCTTGTACAGCTAATTGGCAATTTAATCGTTGGCAGCATTTCAAGGAAGATAAAGGTGGGTGCTTGTCCCGAAAGACTGCGGCAGACTTCTGTTGGACTCTTCATAAACTGTTTGGGACTCATTACAGGCTGTGAATGCATATAATTCACAGCCATTGAAATAATACAAAAAAGGGTTTTTGGGAACAGCGTGTGATTGTTACTGTTTCAGGAAGCCTTGGTCAGAACACAAATCTCTGGAGAGCAAGAAGAGGCTGCAGGGGAATAGTACTCCCTGGTCCTGCATGAAAGAGGCTGCCCCTTCTCGAAAGTGAATCCCTATTTCCGGTTATGAGTGGTAAGGATGCTAGCTTGTTGGGGCAGCCTTCCCTCATGCTGCTCCCCCACCATCCTCTCCCTCCAGAGATCTTTCAAGGCAGGAGCTGGACTCAGAGGAAACTGCTTTCTGCAAACTTTCACTGCATCAGCATTGTGGTTGCCCTCAAAGGCCCAGTTGCATGTAGGACTATTGTATCATATTAATTCAGTAGTGTATTAACATAGGCTGAACAGTATTAACATTTCAAAAATGAACAGATATTTCAAATCTGCAAAAACAAATTTAAAACAAAGAAGAAACATAATCAGGGGTGCTTAGATCTGGCCCGTGGGCCCGGCCTGGAAACAGCAGAGGACCAGCCCATGGTACCTCTGCCAGAAAAAATGGAGCTTGGGGGGCATGAAATGTTTCTCTTTTGCATTTGAGCATGCAAGAAGGGACAGGAAAGGAAGAAGGAAAAGAGGAAATACAAAGAAAAAGAAGGAAAGAGAGGGAGGGAGGGAGGAAGATTATAATGAGAGTGAGGGAAGGTTTCAGGGAAATCCTGTCTTAGCACTTGGCCACCACAGGTGCCCCCAACATGAATCTTGTGTCACACCTACCCTGGCCATGCCCACCCCCGGTCACACCCACACCCACCCTCCAAAGTAAAACAACCTTCAGGCAGCCCTCAATGAAATTGAGTTTGACACCGCTGCGAGTAATCAACTTACAACAGTTGATTTAGTAACTGTTCAACGTTATAACAGCACGGAAAAAAGTGGCTTATGATTGCTTTTCACACAGCCATTGTTGCATCTCATGGTCACATAATCAAAATTCAGGTGCTTAGCAACTAACTAATAGTTATGATGGTTCCAGTGTCCCAGGGTCATGTGATTATCTTCTGACAAGTAAAGTCAATGGGGAAGTCAGAGTGAGTCACTTAACAGTCGTGTTAATAACTTAACTGCAGTGATTCACTTGACAACTGAGTCAAGAAAGGTTGTAAAATGGACAATATTCACTTAACAGATTTGGGGTGGGGGGCTGAATCATGTTTGTACTGTAAGTCAAGGACTATTAACTTTAACCATTAGCAGGTAGTGATGCATCAGGCATTTATGATGTAAGCTCTAGTTTTCTTATTTACACATAGTTGGAATAAATCAACCTGACATCAGATCTATCCATTACCAATGTAAGACAACTTCATATACAGTGTTTGCTGGAATTCTTTTATATTGGTTTCCTAATTTTTCTACAGCAATTTGATTTATCGAAAGTGTCTAGATTGTTGTACTTATATTTCCATTTTCCACTCTTCATTTTCCCTGCCTCTTCTTCAGTTAATTGCTTGGCAGACTGAAAAACATTTTGAATACACAGTTGAGTAAAAGTGCCCTTAAATTCTTCTCGAAATTAGCTTCAAAAGTTCTTTCTTAGAACATACTCCCTTTCTCTTGTTTTCTGAACATATAATGTAATGTTTTTGTGAGACTAGCACCATTTTGTGCCATGGGTATTATTTCTGCCTATAATCTTAAGTTATTCACCCAAGGGTGTATTGATTTTTACTTTTTAGTTTGGAATTAAGACAATGCTTGAAACAGATGATGGGATTCTACTTTTGGCAAAAGCAGTGGATCCTAAAGTCCCTACAATGATGATTGACGCTATCAAGCTACTCTCTGCTCTCTGCATTTTGCCTCAGCCTGTGGATATGTATGTGACAATGAGTAGTTTATCTTTTGGTTTAGTTGTATGCTGTAGAAGAATGGGTCAGTTTACTAATTTATACTTTTGATAAAATATGTTAAAATATGGTTTCTTTATCAATTATGCCTCTTAATAAGCACATAATTGGTGTAATAGATGAGTTCTGAAAATATCCCAAGGGAAAAAAAGTTGAAGCAACATGCTCTTCCTTCTCTTCCTGAAGCCATTAACCTTATCCCATGTTACTTAAGGAAGTTTTATACCTATAGCTTTTCAGAGCATAATGAAGGTTATGGCAAGAGGTGAAAAAACAGCAAAGCTAGTTTCACAAATTTACTTCTGTTTATATATCTTAAGACACAATCCAAAGCATTTGTTCTTCCTAACTTTTACTTGTTATGATTGAATAGTTAATTCAAGTAAAAAAAAATTGTAACAGCAATTAGATTCCTCTCCATCACTTTTGCACGATTTTGTTCAAAATATTTTGATATATGAACAGAAATAAAATAGGTATCTGTATTTAGGAAGGGAATATTTTCCCTCTTCAAGAAAATAAAACTGAAAAATGTAATAATGAGAGACAGAAATGATGTGTGTATTACAAGGGTTCAAAGAGATTTCACATGTTTTCAGTTAATTATTACCCCCCAAAGGTAATAATTTGTTAATTGAACCTTTCGTAATGAAGAAATTAAAGTTTAATTATTTATTTAAACATTTAATGAAAATATATTTTCATATAGGGAAGTATTCAGTGAGGTACCTCAGGGTTCTGTCTTGGGCCCAGTACTCTTCAACATCTTCATAAATGATCTAGACAAGGGATAGAAAAGGAACTCATCAGATTTGCTGGAAAGAATTGCTAATACTTTGGAAGATAGGCTCAAGATTTAGAAGGATCTTAATACGCTTTAGCCCTTAGGTCAATCCAACCATTCACTCATTTATGAGAAAAGTAAGAAAAACCAAATGCATAGGTATAGAATAGGCAGTATCTGACTCAACAATAGTAACTGTGATAAGGTTCTATGCATCCTATGGACAACCACTTAAATATGAGCCAGCAATGTTTTGGCAGGATAGCATCAACATCACAAGAAATTTTAATACTGTTTTATACTAGTAAGATCACATCTAGAATATTGGTACAGTTCTAACCATGATACAAAAAAGATGCTGAGACCATAGAAAATATGCAGTGAAGACAACAAGATAACAAGAAGTCTGGAGGCTAAACTGTATGAGGAATGGTTGAGGGATCTAGTCTATCAACAAGAAAGATGAGAGGAAACTTGATAGCTGTCTTCCAAGTACTTGAAGGGCTCACTTATTTTCCAAAACCGAGGACAAAAAGTAATGGCTGGAAGTTGTTAAAGAGAGATCCAATTTAAAAGCAAGGAGAAATTTTCTGACAAGAGCAATGAGTCAGTCAAATAGCTTGCCTCCAGTAGTTGTGGGTGCTCCATCATGAGAGTTTCAAAAATAGACAGGACAACCACTTGACCAGGATGCCGTAAGCTTTCTTGACTTGGGCAGTGGTTTGAACTAAAAGATCTCTGAAGTCCCTATCTTTCTACATTCTAGGACAGGGGTGTCAAACTTGCATCGCTACGGCATCAACGTGTGATGTACCGTGACTTTTTCCCCCTTCACTAAACTGGGCATGGGTATGCCCAGTGCATGATACATCCAGCCTGTGGACTGCAAGTTTGACAGTCCTGTTCTAGGAGGTACATTGCCTGCTGAAGGAACACAATAAAAAATCAATAAAACACTGGTAGTTGTGAGCAAACTTTGAATTTAATAAAGGTGATGACTTAATTATTTGTACCCTTTACAAAAACATCAAATACCAGATATAATCTGTGAGTATATCCCAGTTATACAATTGAGTCTAAATTTGATACATTCAAATTCAGAAGGATTTTATTGGCTTCCTAAATTTTAGTATGAGATCTTTAAAATTCCACATCAAACTAACACTGTTTTTTAAAAAAATGCAGACTTGGTATATAAAAGCTAGTTTTTATTTTCTCCTTTTTCTTCCTTTTTTATTTCTATTTTATGTGATTCCTTTATTTTTTGTTAGGCACGAGCAAGTTTTGGGAGCATTAACTGAACGTGCAGAAATGGATGAAGTAGAACGATTTAAGCCCATTGTGGATGGCCTGAAAAGTGGAACTTCGGTAGCATTAAAGGTAATAGGAGGAACTTGAAAAAAGAATATAACAGTCTATACTCTGATGCCTTTTGTTTTCTCTCTTATTTCACCATTACTGAGTACACTTGATTTCTCTGGATTTTTATCCTGAAATTCTTTTTGTATATCTTCAGAACCAGCCCAAGGTAGCAATCAGGCAATTTGATTAGAATGAATATAGGGCAGGGGTCGGCAACCTTAAACACTCCAAGAGCCATTTGGACCCGTTTCCCACAGAAAAGAAAACACTGGAAGCCACAAAACCCTTTTGACATCTAAAATGAAGATAACACTGCAATAAAACTTATTGAAATATTAGATTATTTGTGGAAAATATATAGTTTAATATAATTAATTGTTTAATGTATTCAAATTAAGTTACATTGGTATAAAATTTGTATGTAGAAAAAAATAAAGTATTGATTTAAGGAATACATAATCTACTGTTTTAAATGAAAAAAAAGTTTTATTGAATGAAAGGGAAATAAAGTATCTATGTTTTATAAATCAGAACCTATTTTATTCGGCCCTAACATAATTTAGCACTAACAGTTGTGATATTAAGCATTTTATTAAAAAACAACAGCCTCAATTGGTAGTTTTAAAAATTCCTTTCCTGTCATTTTATTAATAGTGAAAAGTGACTGGCCATTTTAAAAGTACTTTGTATTAGATTTTAAGACAGATATTTATGCGGCGTACCTACGGTTTTATTCAGCAGGAAAAGAAACAAACTTTTTCCTTCATAAAAACTGCATGCTGACATCGCTTCGTGTTATTCGTGTTTCTGTACAAATCCTTTGATAGAAATTAACGTACCTGCTGCTGGAGGGCGCCACAAGCAAGTACTGCTCAAGACACCCCAGGATTGAATGTACCATACAATAGAAGTTAGTGGAGCTCCTGAACTGTTTTGGAGCACGAGGAAAGTTCAGTTGTAAACGTGATGGGGTTTTTTTGGGGGAGGGAAGTTTCTTTTCGTTGTACAACAAGCCAGGCAGATTATTTTCCAGCATCTTCCCTAGTTCAGCACTAAAGTAAATTTGCAGCTTGGGAGCTTCCCGAAAAGGATTAAATGATAGGTCGCCTAACTCTTATTTTTGACCCCCCCCCTCCAGTCCAGTTGGCCTTTGCCAAGGGAGTAAATCGGACAGATCGAAATCAATTCTGAATATTCAGTGTGAAAAGTCAGCTGGTTTCAAACACTCCCTCCCCTTCAAATCACTCCTCCCCTTCAAAGCCTCCCACCCCCATGCAGGAGTTAATCATAGATCCAATCTTATGGTAAATGTTTATTTAAAATTTACCCCACCTGATCATTTGACTCGTGGAATATCTATATTCTGTGTGTGTGTACGCACACGTGCACATGTTTCCAAGGCTCTCATAGACCTCCATCAGGCCACAGAAGCGAAACCAATTCTGCCTCTTCATGCACGTTCACATGCAACCACGAATGTGTCCATGTGGCCCTTTCACCTGAACACGTGGGATTGGAGGTCTGCACTGCCGGCCTACGAGCATCTCTGCAAGGAAAGGTTGGGCATCGCTTAAGAGTTTCCCCCAACAGAATATAAAGAATCAAATGGACTCAAATGGATAACGTGAACTGGCAATTTATGTTAACACAACTAAAAGAAATGGACTTTGGGGAGAGATTTATAAAGATGATTAAGGCAATATACTATAAACTAACTGCTAAGGTGATGGTAAATGGAGACATGACTGAAAAGGTTAATATTAAAAAGGATACAAGACAAGGATGTCCCTTGTTGCCATTGTTATTTGTATTGACACTAGAAGTATTAAATAGAAATATTAGACAAGATAAAAACAGAATGGAAATAAAAAAGGAAGAATTTAAATTATAGGCATTTGCAGATTATTTTGTTTTTATTGTAGAAGATCCACAAGAGATTGGACCTAAGTTAATAAAAAAAGAAGTAGCAGGATTGAAAATAGAGAAAAAACTAAGAATTTAGTGGAAAAATCACAGAAAACAAAAAAAAGAATTAATGGGAAGATTAGATATTCAGATCACTAAAAAAGTTAAGATATTTAGGGGTACAATTAACAAGATGTATAGCAATTAAGGAAGATAACTATTGTAAACATACAACAAATTTTGGGAATTTGGGGATTTGGGAAAATGGGAAAAATTGCAATTATAATTAACAGGAAGAATAGGTACAATTAAGATGAATGTATTGCCGAGATTATTGTACTTATTCCAAGTAATTCCAATAAAACGGGGGAAAAATATTTCGAGGATCTTAATAAAATAATTGTAAAATGTATTTGGTGGGGGAAAAAGCTAGAATTAACTTTAAAATGCTACAGAATAAAAGAACTAGAAGTGGTTTTGGTCTACCAAACTGGGAATTATATTATCAGGATATGATGTTAACATAGATGAAAGAGTGGATTGATCTGAGAAACGTAAAACTATTGACCTTGGAGGGACATAATCTGGGATGGCATGCCTTCTTATGGTATGGGAAAAGTAAGATACATAGTTACTTTCAAAGACATTATATAAGAAATGCTTTTTTGTTAGTATGGAAGAAAATTAGAGAACAGTGCTACTTGAAGATATCAGTCTGGCTTTTGACAATAGAAGCACTTATACATCTGAATATGATTGATATGGGAAATATTGTGAGATACAAAGACATTTTGAATGAGAAGGGTGAGCTCAAAACTAAGCAAGAATTGAATGAACAAGGGATCGAAATAGCCTGGTATTCACAACTGTAAATACAGTCGAAATATGAAAAAGATGTAAAAAGTTATATGGTATTTACAGAGAGCTGACAGAATTGGACAAGATCCTAACAGGAACTGATGAAAGCTTGATTAAAAAAACTGTATAACTACTTATTGGGTTTTAAATTGGAAGAAGAGCAAGTGAAGGAGACAATGATAGCATGGGCTAAAATTTTGGTTATACAATAGAATTAGATAAATGGCAGAAACTTTGGGATAGAAATTATAAATTAACAATGTCAACTGCATATAAAGAAAATTTGTTTCGTAAGATGTTTTACAGATGGCATTATGCAGCAGCATGGTTGGCAAGAATGTTCAGACATATTGTGTGTATTTGCAGTAATTTAAGAGTAGAGAATTAATACCAATGTAATGATTATGGCTGGAAATGTAATTGTTATTTCACAAAACATTTGTAACCAGACGACACACTGTTTAACGTATGATGGATTGTTTATATTAAAAATAAAAAATTTAAAAAATTAAAAAGAATTTTCCCTGACAGGAAGAGCAGCGGCGGGGGCATGGCCCCATAAAAGAATCGGGTTTGAAAGAGCCACATGCAGCTCCAGAGCCGCAGGTTGCCGGCCCCTGGTAAAGGGTAACAGGAAGATGGTTTGATTAGCTTAACAAACCCTAGAGGAGCATACTAACTATTCATTAATTATAAAGCATTTTGTAAGCATTGTGATTCTAAAATTCTACATTCTGGATTTGGGATAGAAAAGGAGGGAGAAGTCTTTTCAAGTTGCTCTAGGTGTATTATTCCAAGGTTACTCAATTCCCTGAATATATTTAAATATAGGGGCAAGAGACACCATGGGCAACAAGTATTAATGGATTATTTTTAAAGATAAGACTTTTGTTCTGGAGTAGACTTAGAATATGAGCTGGGTTGCCTTCAAATCATTGGTGTTTAATTGAAACATGTCCTTTTCATTTGATTTCTTTTGTTGTTTTAATCTATGAGATCTCAGAGTTTCAATTATCAGTGTTGATTCCTTCCTGATTTTCTTTTCAACACTATTTGTACTGCATACCTGAATTTCACTTTTAGGCTGCTTTGTTGTGATAAAATTTGGTAGAAAAATATTTTGTCTGGCAGTTTTTCATAGTTTTTCTAGCAAATTAGCTAGCTCATGATGAATGGGAGAAAAATTGTTGATCCAACATATATTTTTTCTTTGACTTTCTTAGGTAGCCTGTCTACAGTTAATCAATGCTCTAATCATCCCATCAGATGAGCTTGATTTCAGAGTACACATCCGCAGTGAATTAATGCGCTCTGGACTGCAGCATATTCTCAAGGTTAGAAATATATCTCCTTTTTATTATGATACCTTTGCTATATTGGGAGAGATAATATCTATCATTTTAAGACTCCATTTAAAGTGTAAATGATTTGATAGGGTTAATTATACTTCAACATTATTTGGGGAGTATAGGTAGTTCTTGATTGATGGGCATAATTAGCACTGGAATCTTGCGCATTGAGCAAAGTGGTCATTCAGCAAGACACCCATGAGACTGTCTTGCTCAACAAGTGCATTCCCAGCTCTCACAGTTTTAAGGTGAACAAAGTGAAAGCACTGTGCCTGTCAAAAGAGGGCAGGCAGTTCCCTCTGTGAACAAAAGAGAACTCCTATAGTGGAGTGTGGGAACAGAGCTTTGGGATTCTTATTTTCTTTCTCCAGCTCAATGAAGGAATTCCCCTCCCCATCTTGTACAGGAGGAAAGTCTTGTGCTGGAGAAATAGAGCTTCATTTCTGCAGCCCAGGGCAAGATTTCCTTTCCCTTTTGTGGCTTTGTTTCTGCAGCCTGGCAAAGGATTCCCTCCTCCTCACATGCATGAAAGGAAGGAAAAATCTTTTGGCAAGCAGCAGCAGCAGCTTGCAACCTTTCCTGCCAGCTTCCCCATTGTCTTTCTGAACTGGCATGACTGAATGGCTGCTAAACAATTGGTCATAAGTTGAGGGTTACCTGTGTTCTTTATAGCTGGCCATATTTCAAAAGAATTACAAGAAAAGAATTGCCTTATTTACAAGGGATTCTCAAAAGGAAGAATGGTACAGAACTAAAATAATAAGGAATGTGTAGTTATGCAAATTAAGTCATATCGGCGGTTGGAAATGTAATGGATTATTGAATGAAGATGAGAACTCTCCTGTTAGCCCTTTTCATAGAAGCCCTTACATACCTATCCCTTGTATGGAAAGGATGGAACGGTGCTAGGTATCCTCAGCTTCGCATTTTTTTTAAAATTAATTAAGATGTGTGAAATAGCATCTGTATACAGCTAGTCCTCAACATACAACCATTCAGATACTGTTTGAAGTTGCAACAAAACTGAAAAATGTTGCTTACAAATTGTCCTCACACTTATGACCATAGCAGTTTCACTATGGTCACATGACTAAAATTTGGTCGCTTGATGACTGGCACATGTTTACAATGGTTGCAGTATCCTGTGGTTATGTGATCACCTCCCCAGATGACTTACAACAAGTGAAGTCAATTGGGAAAGCTAGGTTGCTTAAAAGCTGTGCAATTTGTGTAAGAACATGGCAAAAATATTGTAAAATCAGGTGCTATTCACATAACAACTGCTTTGCTTAGAAGAAGAAATTCTCATCCCAATTGCAGTTATAAGATGGGGACTAACCTGTATATCATTTGTGCCTTTGAGCAATTTGTAACTTCCTATATATAAATAATAGCTTCTCTTATGTCATGGATATTTGGGCAGGGACATTGTCATAAGTTTTACGTTAATCAGCCTTAAGTAATTTCAACAAATTATTTATTTTTTGTCAAGCAAGTAAACAAGTAGAAGTATAAATATGGTTATGAATACATGAAATGGGTACGAATAAAAAAGAAACAATAGGACAGGGACGGTAGGCACGTTGGTGCGCTTATGCATGCCCCCTTCAGACCTCTTAGGAAGGGGATGAGGTCAATAGTAGACAGTCTAAGGTTAAAGTTTTTGGGGTCTGGGGAAGAAATCACAGAGTCAAGTAGAGTATTCCAGACATTGATCACTCTGTTGCTGAAGTTGTATTTCCTGCAATCAAGTTAGTTCTTTTATTGGGGGGAGCAGGGAGGGGAGAAAAGAAAGGGAAGAGAGAGAACAAAACAATATTTTACCAAATAATCTGAAATTTTCTTGGAATAAAAGAGGGCCGTGATATCTAGTGGACATCTTCTGAAGTGACAGTGTCCTTCACAGGAACTGCATGCTCAAGACAATGAGGAGCTGAAACTACAGCTGCAGGTATTTGAAGAATATGGTGAAGAAGATTCTGCAGAACTCAGAGGCCGCTTGGAAGACATTCGAATAGAAATGGAATATCCTTTTATTTCAAAATATATGACACATCCAATAACTCAGCATATAAGACAAAGATGATAAGGAATCTGGAGGATAAATCATACAATGAATGGTTGTGGGAACTAGATATGTCTAGTCTAACAATGAGAAGAATGAGGGTGATATGATAGCAATCTTCCAGTATTTGAGGGACTTTCAGAGAAGAGGAGGTCAACGTGTTCTCTAAAGCACCTGAGGGTAGGACAAAAAGTAATGGATGGAAGATCATTAAAGAGAGATCCAACCTAGAATTAAGTAGAAATTTCCTAACCGTGAGAACAATCAATGGAAGGTTTAGTCATTGATTTTTAAGAAAAGATTGTACAACCATTTGTCTGGAATATTACAGAGTCTCCTGCTCAAGCAGTGGGTGGACTTAAGACCTCCAAGGTCCCTTCCTTGTGACTGCTTGGAATAGTTAGTCCCTGAATTTAACAAGAGTTCTCAAGTGTGTGTGTGTGTGTGTGTGTGTGTGTGTGTGTGCGTGTGTACCCTAGAAAATCTTCCCTAAGGAAATATATTTTAAGTTTCCAGTAACAGAAAATGTGGCATAATCCGTGAAAGAATATGTGGAAACTCTAGTTATACTGAAGCAGAGCGAGATAGCTGAGTGATTACAAATCCTGAGTTCATCTCTGAGCTATTCCTCTCTCAGAGAGTAATAGTTTTGGAGCACTTTATAACTATAATATACCATATGTTTTGGACTATAAGACACATCCCTCCCCAAAAAAGTGGGTGGAAATATCTGTGTGTCTTATAGAGTGAATACAGACCTGGTTTTGGACTTCTGAACCTTCTGTGCATCCTGTTTTTGTCCTCTCTGGCATCCAGAAGCAATCTGCTGGCAAAAAATGCGCCTGCTTTTGGTTTCCAAAGGCTCCACACACCCCATTTTTTCTCTCCAGCATCCAGAAGCATTCTGCAGGCCAGAAATGAGCCTGCTTTCAGCCTCCAGAAGCCTTCGCGGGTCCCATTTTTGCCCTCCCCCAAAACAGGACCCGCAGAGGCCTCTGGAGGCCAAAAATGGGCATGTTTTTGGCCTGCAGAGTGCTTCTGGATGCTGGGAAGGGCAAAAACAGGAACTGCGGAGGCAAAAAACTTTTTTTCTTGTTTTCCTCCTATAAACCCAGATGTGTCTTATGGTACGGTGCATCTTATAGTCCAAAAAATACAGTAACCTTTCAGTAACAACAATTTTAAAGTGCATTTTCTTGCTTTTGTTTTCCTTATCCATTTTGTTTTCATTTTCTGATACACTTTTTTAAACTTTAAATTGAAGACTGCAACTATATTTTATGAACAGTAAGCCAGTGAGAACATTCTATTTGGAGTTTGATGTGTAAATGCTTTAAATTCAACATTCATTGGTAAAAGTTATTTATTAAATTTACATTAATTCCTTTACCACAAATACAGAAATCAGGTGGTAAGCTAAACTAGGTTTCTTTTATGAATTAGTGCTGTGCATCTATTTCTTTTGAATGGCTTTTGAATCCTTAATTTTGTTTACTGATTTCAACGAAATCTTTCAGATTCTCCTAAATACAGTAAAGGATTCTAAGGCAGAACAACATTTCCTCTCAATTTTGCAGCACTTCCTGCTAATCCGCAATGATTATGAGGCCAGGTAGAGAAGGAAACTATTTTTTAAATATTGTGAAAATATATTATGTGTGGATGTATATACTGTGTTTCCCCAAAACCAAAACCTACCCCGAAAATAAGCCCTAGCATGATTTTTCATGCTGTTTGCATTATAAGCCCTATCCTCAAAATAAGCTCTAATGCAGACTGTCATCAGCGGGGGGTGTGTGTGTTTGGGCATTGCCAGCACAGGCAGCAAGTTGCGTGGGAAAAGCAACTGCAGGCCACACAGTTCAGTCCCTCCAAGCAGCAGACAGAGGTGCATGTGTGTGTGTGGAGGCACGTGATCCGTTCCACTGTCTGTCTTTGCTTGCAGAATGTGCAGCAGAACTGGAGGACAAGATTGGATACAGGAGGTCAAGAGCACAGGGGCCGTGGCCCCTCCCATACCCTTTGAACCTGGCTTCCCTCCTTGGAGGGAGATGGAGGCTAGGCTAGGCTGAAGCAGAGAAGAAAGGGGGAGGAGAAGCCACACAGTTAAGGATGAGGCCTCTTAGGAGACACAGTGTACAAATGTAAAAGCCGCTCCTTCCAAGTCAGAAGCAGTGTCTGGACTGTCAGCGGGGCCACTTTGTCCTTTCCCCAGGAGTGTCTTGCCAGTGTCCCCTTGATGGCTCTCCCCCTCTCACCACATAGTTCCCAGGATGAGAGGGGGCAAGATAGGAGAGGGGAACAAAGGGAAAGAGCACCCAGATTCCCAGCACTTTGTTTTGATTTGCATGCCGTGTCTCCTGTGACACTTTGTGGAAAGGCGTGTGATCCCCTCATTCATAGCTGCTGAATGAGGGCTAGGCTGAAGCAGAAAAGAAAAGAGCAGTGGGAGAAGCTGAGGACAAGAGGCTCCCCTGCCTCTCTGTGAGACCTCTTGGGAGAAATGTAAAAGCCACTCCTTCTAAGTCAGCAGCAGCAACTGAATCAAAATGAAGCGCTGTGAGTCCGGGCACCCTTCCCGTGTATTGCCCCCTTTCGGAAAGTTTCATTGACGCTGGTGTTATTCAAATGACATCCTGACATATTTTGGAAGGGAGAAGGTGTAGTGCTGAGGTTTGCACGATGGCGGCAACAGACTGCAGGATTTATTTTTATCTCCCTCCAAAACATGCTAGGACAGCACCAGCAGCAGGCAGAGGCAGAGGGTGATCTGATCAAACCTGTATGTGTGTGTGTGAGAAAGAAAGATTGGATCCAACCTTGAATACCAGGGCTGGTGGTGGTATGCTGTCTTTCTCTCTCACACACAAAGAGGTTTGATTAGATCACTTTCTCATTCGTGCTCTTTCTTCTCCCTTCCTTCTTTCCACTACGCAGCTATTGCAGGTCCCTACTTTCTCGCTAGCCACATTGCCCTCACCATTCTGGAAATGGCAGCCCCCTTTTTTGCCTCTTCTCCAACTGGTGTTGTGTTTCTCCTTTGTATGGAAGAATGCTAAGCTCCCAGAAAACTAGGCCACCTGAGGCAAGGAAGGCCTAGCTCCCCTTCTCCTATGGTTCTGCAAAGCCCTTGAGGTTTTGCGTGAAGGAGCAGATCGCTTCTCTCAGGGTTGGCATCAGCACCCACTTCAGACAGCAAACTCTTGCTCTTTTTCTCCAGGGCCTTTGAAATTCCCCCCACCCTCACTTTTCTGCCTTAAAATCCAGAGCACACATATTTTCCTCCTGATCAGCTGAGGATACAATGGCTACTGTATGATTTAAATATATATACAAAGGAAGAACACAATGCTGGTTGGAGAACTGGCAGGAAAGGAGGCTGCCATTCCAGAACAGAGATGCGGGACAATGCAGGCCGATGAGAGTGGGGATCGGTGATTGCTGCGCCATGGAAGGAAGGAAGGAGGAGAGAGAGTGATCCAACCTCTGAGTGTGTGTGTGTGTGTGAGAGAGAGAGAGTGAGGGGGGGAGAGAGAGAAGGCACCTCCGCAGCTCTGGTATAACTCTCCAAGGTTGGATCAGATCTCTCTCTCACACAGAGGTTGGATTGGATCATTCTCATGGTCTCTTACTCTCTCTTACTGCGGCGGTGGTGGCAGTGGTGCTTTGGTGCCTGGCCAGCTGGGATGGCTCCACTTCTCGCTCAGCCATTTTCCCTCTTTCTTCTCTCCACTCCTCCTCCTTCCCTTGCTCTCTCCATTGCAATACAGCGCCCGGGATCCACTTTGACAGCAGCAGGTTTTGAGGGATGGTTTATCCCCATTGTAGCATGGTTGGGGAAAGCAGAAGGCAGTCCTGCCCATCAGACCAGCCTGGCAGGGGCGGGGTGGGAAAGTGAGATGAAAGTGTGGTGTTCCAGCTGTGGAAATTTGTTTGAAAGGGACAGCATTTCCTGCAATTCTCGTTAATGGGAGAGGCTGCACATTGTTTCTAAGCACACGCTTCCCACAATCTTCCAGGGTTTAATTACACAAAGGCAATTTGCTCTGGAAGGGAAGTGGGGGAAAAGTTTCTGTCAGGAGAGGTACCTCCCAGCAATTAAAACTTCAACGCCATACAGGTTGCCCTGTTTTGGGGGAGGATGGGGGGTTAGGCATTGTGGGTTAGGGTTAGGGGTGGGTGGCGGCGCTGCGGGGGATCTGAGGTAAGGCAGGTTGCATGTGTGGCAGCTCCACTCTCTCCCCACTTGCCTCGCTTCATCCTCCACTCCCTCCCCACCTTGCCTTGTGACCGCAGCACTAGCACGTCACTTGGCCTCCTGGGATGCTGCACTGATGCCGGAAGAAGTGGGCTAGCAGCCATATGGGCTCCTGCTGTACATGGTTGCTGGTGCTGCCACCACGAGGCAGTTATCGGGGCATGGGGCTACGGGGCCCTAAGGTAAGCCAGTGTGCGTGTCAGGTAGCTCCACCTCCCTGCTTCGCATCGGTGGCACTTAAAAGAAATAAGACAATCCCCGAAAATAAGCCCTAGTGCTTATTTAGGGGCCTAAAAGAAAATAAGACGGGGTCTTATTTTAGGGGAAACATGGTACATAACTTTTTGAGTATGAAGCTTCTGATTATCAGCACTAATTATTTTTCTGTTCTTGCCTTAGGCCTCAATATTTTAAACTAATTGATGAGTGCATTTCACAGATAGTTCTGTTCAGGAATGGCGCTGACCCAGACTTTAAGCGCAAACACTTTGACTTCAATGTTGAGGCCTTAATAGGTGAGTCTGATGCCACTGAGAGCTATATTTAATTTGCTAATTGTTCAGGAAAAATGTATTTTTCTATTTGCTACTGTTATATGAGCCGACAGAAAGTGAATATATTTGTATCATTTTTGCCCCATTGTAAACAATAAATCACTCAGCTTAAGTATATTTGTTGCAAAGCAGTTTTCTTTTAAGAATAAAGATTGCAGAATATTTCTTACAGTTTGCCTAAAGTACCTACAATCTATTGAAAGCATTGCCACAGTTGTACTTTTAGTTCATGGTGAAAACCTCCGTAGCACAGCATTTATTGCTCTTTCAGTTATACTGAGACACAAGATACTATCTATTTCTGGTCTGTTAAAAATACACGAGTGAAAGACAGATATGCATATATTCAGTTATGTCTGGTAAATCAAGAATGTAACAAATCAATGCATAATCTAGAAATTGAGTGAAGCTCTACAATAGAGCTGTGCTCCAAGCTATATTTGCCTCCTGAAAGGTTTGAGTGTGGTTTTCAAATATTTCAGTAGTAAATTATAATTTTTGGTTTGGTAATAGCTATAGCATTTACACCTGTAAATGTACAGTACAGTAGAAACATAGAAATGTGATGCAATTACAGTAGAAATGTGATGCAATTAATGGTTAAATAGATGGCCAGAAATTAACTGCATTCACTAAATTTAAATTAAAAATAAATAAAATATAATCCAGTTCAGTTTCCCCCCCAGCTCTATACAACTATACAACCTGAGGACACCACTCAAAGAATGAAGAAGCCTACTCCTCCCCCAAAAGTATGCACCTCTATTATGTATTGCACCTCTATTATGTATTGCACCTCTATTATGTAAAGTTGCTTAGTGCAGAAGGGAATTTTTCTCATAGTATTCTCACTTAGTTTTATTTATTTATTTTTGTAGATAACTTGATTGATCAAACTAAGGTGGCAAAAAGTGAAGCTAAAACCCTGGAATTGGAGAAGAAGGTTACAATCATATTTTTTTCTTTATCTTTCATTCTTCCTTTATTTTACTGGCTTTTTCCTTTCTCAGAACTGTTTAAATGATACAGTACTTTTTGTGTTTTTAAATATCTTCATTTAAAAAAAAAATCCTTAGTTTTTAAACAGTACAATTAAAAGACGAACAGTGGTAGATGCTGGCATTTCGCTTTGACTCATCAGTATCAAACTTACAATAGCATTGTTAAAATTGGAATAAATACATATATAGTATCTTGCAAGAATGTTAAATATGTACATAGTAAATATGTGTCAGGTTTCCAAGTGATGAAATCCATTTAAAAAGAAAAGTACAAAGTCCATCTTTCAAAAAAATTTCTTTTATTTAGGAAAGCTGGCAAAGTCCATGGTAATTCCGGATCTGACCCAACCCGAAATTACCCCACAATATTAGAAGTTAAAAACAACCCCCAAAAGTCACATTCTCCAATAGAAGTAATTCAACGTTGCTTGATGTCATAAATCCAGGGGCCCAAGCACTGAGAGCTTATTTCCAACGGGAAGGAAGATCACCTAACCAAAACACTCTCTTTATCTCCACTCCTCCCCTCTTAGGAATGTGTCAAGTCCGAAACCCTTTCCCCCCCATGACTGCCACAGAGAAAGTAAGAAAAAGAATATATACTAAGACAAATTAAAATGGCTACACTTATGTCAATTTCTGGCTTGACATGTGTACTTAATTGCTCTTCGGTAAGCTTGATCCCATTACAAATGGAAGCATTAGTATATGGCTTGGACTCCAAACTAAAACCAGAGAAGTTTGACTGAGTGCATGTCAAGGTGCAATTTAAGAATCTTTTTGATCAACTATCAGAATTTCATCCTAAAAGTACAAACTATTACAACCGTCTATAAATTAAGTTTGCCGACATCGTCTATGGGTTTTTCATCCCCAATTAATGATAAATGGGCACTCTCGAGAAAACATTTACAAGCATTGCATGAACTAAAATCAAAAGATATAGTCATATCTAAACCGGACAAAGGTTCTGTATTTCTCTATTGTGACAAAGAAGCATACAAACAGAAAATTTCTTGAATTTTGAATGACCTGACGGAGAACCGGGAAATTGATAATCCCGAAAGCATTAGCATGACAGAAGAAAGAATATGTCGACATTTATAGATGATGCTCTTGTTGATAATCATTGATGAAAAGACCTACAACAAGTTAAAAACTAATGATGCCACAACTCTATGGACTACCAAAAAAGCACAAGCCGGGAATGCTGGCTAGACCCATTTTAGCTATGTTTGGCTCTGTTTACCATCAAGCTGCATGCTGGACCCATGACATCCTGGTGCCTGTAAGAGAAGAAGCTAATCAAAACAACACTAAAGGATTTGTTTGAGCTTGCTAAAGAGTTGAATTCCATGAATGTGAAAAATGACATTATGTGCTTGGTGGACGTTCAGTATCTTTTTATGAATGTCCCACTTCATGAAACGGTTTATTATATGTGCAGTTTAGTGGAATCTAACTATATCAATTCCCATACCAGTAGATATCCTTAAACAGACAGTGCTACTTTGCACGGAAAATGTCTCTTTCCATTTTCTTGGTCAGTCTTATCAGTAAATTGGGTTGCAATCGGAAGCCCTTTAGGCCCAATTTTGGCGGATTTCTTCATGAATATGATTGAATCGTTGTCTGATCATATATCCAGATTATCGTATCGCTCACTATGTGGACCATACAGTGATCTTCTGTCCTTCAAGATATATTATTGATGGCTTTGTGCATCATCTAAACAGCTGTCACCCCAGTTTGAAGGTTACCATCGAATATGAAGTAGATGAACCTTTTCTGGACATATTAATTATCCAAAGGTCTGATGGTTCTATTAAAAGAATGGTATTCAGGAAGTTGACATGGTCTGGCCAGTATCTGAACTTTTCAAGTTTTACACCAATTAAGTATAAACATGTGCTGGTACGGAAACTGTTTATACGAGCACATTAAATATGCACTGAGGACTGCTTAAAGGAAGAATTAGAATTTCTAACCCAAACCCTTTGTTTAAATGGTTATTCAGCTCATTTCACTGATAGACACAGTAAAGTAAAAGACCAAAAGCCAGCAGTTCCAACCATCAGTAAAAAGAAAATTTTTATTGAGCTGCTGTTTAAGGGGTATCAATTAGCACGCCTGACAATTTGACGCTTAAATAACTTAATTAAAACAACATTTAGTACAGCTGAGCTACATGTACTACATCAAACCCGGAGGCTACCGCTACAGCGCCAAAGCCGATAGGTTGTATTTACCAATTTGTGTGTAATTGTGGAGACAATTACATCAGCAGAACTGATAGGTGTTTGGCTTTCAGAGTGAAGGAGCATTTTCCGAAATGGGTCCAGACAGCTCTGAGTAATCCAACAGCAACAGCAAATCGTGGCCATAAAATGCTTTATTTGGCCATTGTGAGACACATACTAGCTACAGGTCACCAAGTGAATCCAAACACTGTTCAGAGTTTTATTGCACCATAGGAACTCTCACATCCTGCAGTTTGCCAAGGCAGTTTTTATCAATTGATTGAAGCCTCTCTTGTGCGTGCAGAAACAGTATTTGTCAATCTGCGCCTTTTGTGGGCATAAGGTTCCTCATTGACTGGTTCTTAGCTCACATTATTTGTTTAATTAACTTAATTAACACTCTTGCAAGATCCTATATATTTTATTCTGATTTTAACCTTGTTGTAAAATTGGTACTGATAAGTCAATACGAAATGCCTGTATCTACCACTGTTCGTCTTTTAATTGTACTGTTTACATTATTAAAGAGGATTAATTGTTTTAAATTCCTTAGTTTTTATTCCATTTGTGATGCTGAGAGCTGTTTATTTCTGTTTAGTTCTTTTTTCTTGATGCCTATTTACTTTGGTACTCATGGCCTACTATTTATAAGTATGCAATGAGGAAAAGTATAAGTACGCAAGATGAGTATTCCCCTGGCTTTCTCCTAAAAGTTACAAAAATTAGGTCTATATTGATACTGGTTTCATGTTCAGCAGTACATTCTTTCTTTAAATTTTGCAGCAATAATAGCAATAACAGTTAGAGCAAGGGTCTTCAAACTTAGCAATTTAAGACTTGTGGATTTCAACTCCCAGAATTTCTGAGCTAACATGACTGGAGGAGGAACTCTGGAAGTTGAAGTCCACAAGTCTTAAAGCTGTCAAGTTTGAAGACCCCTGGTCTACTGCTTTTTAGATGGGGTGCCATCAGTCATTCCCAAAGTCATTCCCAAAATAGGAAGTCATTCCCAAAATAGGAAGTGGTATGCCAAAGTTTTCATTGAGCAGCATGCTATCATAAACTTCTCATTGTGGTGCATTTGAAAAGGAAAAAACTAAGCTTAAACACATTTCAGAAGTATTTCAGAAACTTATATGTATAATTCATGTATGAATCTTAAATATACGACATCCCATCTTAAATATACGACATTTCTTTTTGCTAGCAAACATTTAATATATAGACCAAATCCTACCAAATGTTAGTTGTATATTTAATGCCAGAAAAGATAGATGGCAACAACAATTCAGAGGGCCTTCATGAAGCATGTGGATTACTTACTTCTAATTCAGCGGTCCCCAGCCTTTGCAGCTTGGTGGCCCAGCATGTGTGTGTATGGGGGGAGATGGTTCCCTGTGAATGTCAGGTGTGCATGCATGAGCGTGCACAGCTACAATAGTGTGAGCACAAGCACCTGGCATTGGCACAAATGGAGCTTTGCGCGTGAGCGCCTGCCACCTGCACAAGTACAACTGTGTTTGTGGGGCTGTGGACACAGGCACAAGCACCCACCGCTCATGTGAGTGGGGCTGCGTGCATGACTGCAAGCACCTGCCGCTTGTGCAAGTGGAGCTGCGTTTGCATGTGCACTTGCCTGCCGCTTATGTGGCTGCAGTCCAGGGGTTGCAGACTACTGTCCTAATTGATAGAAGAGACAACATTCACATTGTTTCTCATTGATAAAATGGAAAACTACCATTAAATCTAGACTTTATAGAGCAGGAGTAATTGTTCACACATCATTCTGAATATGTTATCTTGTAAAAAATTGTATAAGGGATCAAGAAGAGATATTAATTTATTAAAGAAATGTAATTTTAGATGCATCAAGTAAAAAGAAAAAATAAATCTTACAATCAAGAGAGATTTGCAAAGGTTCTGATTCAGTCCTTGTCACTTCAAGTAAAAGGACTACATTTTTTACAAAGACAATTTAAAATTGGCTTATCTTTAAATTGTTCTCCAAAGTAAAATGTAAACACTAGAATATTTTTCTTCACCGCCTTTCTTAAAAGATTCCTGCATATTTCAGAATTTTATAATAATATTTTTGTTATTACATGTAGAACTTCCATTTAATCATTTCACAGTTCATTTTTGACCTGGATTATGACAAACTAATTAACACATACTCTACTGAAAAGTTTTCATATTTAGTAGTATTAAATTTTATCCTTTTGTCATCTAATCAGCACCGCCCATGTTGTACTTCCCAAGAATGAAAATGTTACCTTGCTTGAGGTTTAATCAGTATGGAGTATGTTGGCATGATTATTGTGCATAATTCTTTTTTTCAGCTGGAATCTGAGTTAACTGCACGTCATGAATTACAAGTTGAAATGAAGAAGAAGGAAAGTGATTTTGAGGAAAAAATTCAACATTTACTTCAGGAGAAAGAAACAGTGGTAGCTGAGAAACAGCGTATTACCTCAGAGAAGCAAAACTTACAAATTAATAGCTCTTTGTTGAGTGATGAGGTAATGATCAATGGTATAAATAAAGTGATTATGGTACATTAGAGAAATATGCCATTTTAGTGTTTAAGCCCTAAGTCCCAAGAATTATAAAATGGAAGAAGAAATATTGCTATTTTCTTGGAGAAAAAAAATGGGTAATGGGACAGGAGGTGAATTTAAAGCTGTTCTGTAAGATATTGAGATATTAATGGATGCATGTAAATGTTGTTATTCCACACTGTATGACATCCCTTTCATTATGATGTTCAAGAGAGGGAGTCAGGATAGTTGGTGGCATGATGTGAAATATTTGTTTTGTTCTTTGTTAATAAAATGAATTTGATATGAATTCTGGGATTGAAGCAGATCATTTACTTATTTATGGATTTATACCCCACCACATTCAATTGTGTCCTGATAGCTTATAACAAATATAACATTGCTAATTGAGAAATATGAGCGTCCTATAATAGAAATAGCACTTAGACTTATATACCACTTTATAGTGCTTTACAGCCCTCTCAAAGCAGTTTACAGAGTCAGCATATTGCCCCCAACAATTTGGGTCCTCATTTTACCCACCTCGGAAGGATGGAAGGCTGAGTCAACCTTGAGCCTGGTGGGATTCGATCTGCCAAATTGCAGTAGGAGTAGCTTGCAGTACTGCACTCTAACCACTGTGCCACCGAGGCTCCTGGGTCCCTGGTGTGGCCCAATGCATTGCAATTTGTCTGACAGCATCTCCTATAGGGCCAGTCTGACTGTGTGCAAGGCTTTTTTTCTTGCATAAATTCTATTGGCAACAATAATTTGGTCTCCTTATGACCTGCAGAATTATTTTTAGAAAATAAAATGATAGTTGTGCACAATAGCATGCTTTTTCTGGAAATTTGTGCATCCTTAAAAAATTGCAAAGTAAGCTGACATGGTAAGAGTTGAAGTAGTAGTAAAAAGCAATATTTCCAATTTCTATTTCCATCATGGCAGCTGTTTTGTGAAAATACCTATAATTTACTCTGAAAATCCTAATTGTATCTTTTAGCACAGAAACATTGAGAGTTCCACCTACTAACCATCTACAACTGGGTTAAGTTGAAATGCTAAATCAGATGTGCAATGTGTTACAATCTGATGTAATGCATATATGCAATATGTAAAACAGTGCTATGTAGATCCTTCAAAGCATGCTTTAGGACCATTAATAGAGTACTTTTTGAATCATATAATACCGTGTTTCTCCAACAATATGGCCTCCACCAATTGTAAGGCCCAGCATGTTTTATCGGCATAAAATCAAAGTAAGCCCCTCCCCCAAATTAAGGCCTATATTAAACATGAGAAATGGGGGTGGGGGATGGCGGGGGGGGCTTGCCCTTAGGAAGTACTTTTGTTGCATACCCGGATATGGTGCTGCCTGCATTGACTTTGGCGTTGGTGGGGCACTTCATATCAGGAGACCTTCCTCCACCATTGCTTCCCCTTCTCCCCATGCTGCCGCGGCATTTAGAGCAATGCTGTGGCTTTTGGCGCAGCCACGCGCATCCAGCCAGGGCTCCTCCCTGCAACCAGAGCCTGGTGGAGACACTCAGCTTCAGGCGCTCCTGTCGCCGCCTTCCCTTCGCCTTCAAAGGCAAAGCCAATTCTTTTAAAAACAACGCCCTACTACCGGTATGACAAAGCCCCCCCTGCCTGAGAGGGCAGCCCAACCCCATGTGGGGAGGCGAATCTCCTGGGGCCACAGCACAGGATCGGCCCACCCCGGGAGAAGCACCCAGCTGCCATCCCTGCCTGGCACCGGGCAGAGCGTGAAGAGCTTTGCCTGGGGCACCCAGCGCAGCTGACAGGTAGGCTCTCCTGCCCGGTGGTGGAGCTCTCGCCAAGGCAGCGAGCGTCTCCCCGCCAGGCCCTCTGCTCATCCAGCCAGGGCCACGCCAAAGCCGTGCGGGCTGGGCAGAGCCAGGAAAGCCAGCCACGGGTGCGTGCCCGCCTGCCAAGCGAAAGAGCCGGGCTGACCCAAGCTTGGCTTCCTTCCCAAGTCCCTCCAGTGCGAACCTAAAGGGGCCACCAGGAGAGGCCGCCCAAGGCAGTGATAGCACCCACCCATCTGTGGACAGGGAGGCAAGGCGACGGCCTGCACCACGTCCTCCGAGCTGAGCCCTGCCGAGTCAGCGCCTCTGCCCGATGCCTATACCGTTGCAGTGTTTGGAGCTGCCGGTGCATTTGGAGATCACGGGGACGGGCTGGGCAAGGGGTGGAAAGGACGGACGGCTTCAGGCTCTTACCGCCGGATCCGCCGGCCAGGGAAGCAGCGCTGCCATCACCTTGCCTCCCTGTCCGTGGACGGGTGGGTGCTATCACTGTCTCGAGCAGCCTCTCCCAGTGGCCCCTTCGGGTTCGCCCTGGAGGGACTTGGGAAGCTCAGATTGGCCTGGCTCTTTTGCTTGGCAGGCGGGCGTGCACCCACGGCTTGCTTTTCTGGCTCTGCCCAGCCTGCATGGCTCTGGCGTGGCCCTGGTGGGATGAGTGGAGGGTCCGGCGGAGAGGCACTCGCTGCCTTGGCGAGAGTGCTGCCGGGCAGGAGGGCCCGCCTGCTAGCTGCGCTGGGCGCCCCAGGCGAAGCTCTTCATGCTCTGCCCGGTGCCAGGCAGGGATGGCTGGGAGCTTCTCCCGGGGTGGGCCAATACTGCGCTGTGGCCCCGGGAGATTCGCCTCCCCACATGGGGTTGGGCTACCCTCTTGGGCAGGGGAGGCTCTGTTGTACTAGTAGTAGGGCGTCGTTTTTAAAAGAATTGGCTTTACCTTCAAAGGCAAGGGGAAGGCGGCGACAGGAGCACCTGAAGCTGAGTGTCTCCGCCGGGCTCCGGTTGCAGGGAGGAGCCCTGGCTGGCCGCACATGGCTGCGCCAAACGCCACGGCATTGCTCTTAACGCTGTGACAGCACGGGAGAAGGGAAAGCAACAGTGACGGAAGATCTCCCGATACGAAGTGCCCCACCAACGCCGAGGTCAACATCCAAGCTGTTGCTGCCCGCCCACCCAAGGATGCAAGGGGGGAATTAAGTCACCCCCGAAAAGATGGCCTAGCCGTTTTTTCGGTCATCAAAAAAACAAAGGCCCGGCCTTATTTTGTGAGAAACATGGTAGGTTTATCTTTTTCTATTGTGAGCTGTACCCAGCTGTCTCTTCACACTTTGCTTGCACAGCCACTTTTGTTCTTTATTGTGCATGCGTGGTTCAGAAAAGGCAGGATCAGCTTCCAAAGTAGCTTTGTAAGCCTGGGAAAAAGTCCTGCTTTGACCATTCAGAAAGCTGTATTCCAAAAGATCTCTTGTGCAGGAATCACACAGCCCTAAATCAGAATAAGATTACCAATTCAGTGTGATCTGCCTATTCATGTATCTGTTGCATTAGACAAAGTCAGTAAGGTTACACAAAAAGAAATTTCAAAATCCCAAAGGAGTAAAGGAAATATCAACAGGGTAGTGAATGATGGCTTAGAAATGGGCAGTCTGTTTATTTTTGTGGTTTAGAATTATGAATTCTCCAGTCTGACTTGTTCTACTTCTTTCTCTAAAGATTGCTCTACTAACCAAAGAACTTGAAGATCTTAAGAAGAAAATGGAGCATGTCATTTCATCTACGGCTTTCCCATCACAGCTGCCATTACCTACTGGGACAGAAAGTCACCAAACCGCTTCATCCCTTTATTCACAAACTGTTTCCCCTCCTCCTGCTCTACCTGGGATGTCAGGGCCTCCCCCTCCTCCCCCCCCCCCCCCCCCCCCCGGGCGGCCGGGCCCCCCCCCCCCCCCCCCCCCCCCCCCCTGCCTGGGATGTCAGGGCCACCTCTTCCTTCCCCTGTGCCTGGGATGCTGGGATTGCCACCTCCCCCACCCCCTCCCCTACCTCCTCTACCTGGAATGCCTGGGTTGCCCCCTCCCCCCCCACCTCTACCTGGAGTGCCAGGGTTGCCCCCTCCACCACCACCTCTGCCTGGTATGCCAGGGTTGCCCCCTCCACCACCACCTCTGCCTGGTATGCCAGGGTTGCCCCCTCCACCACCACCTCTGCCCGGTATGCCAGGGTTGCCCCCTCCACCACCACCACTGCCCGGTATGCCAGGGTTACCCCCTCCCCCACCACCTCTGCCTGGGATGTCAGGGCCACCCCTTCCACTTCAATTTGGGGTACCAACGCCGCCACCTCACCCAAATCTTCCATTTGGATTGCCTCCCAAGAAGGTTTACAAACCAGAAGTTCAACTTAGGAGAACTAACTGGTCCAAGGTGACTTCTTGTAATTGATAATTAGATATATTTTACCCATTGTCAATGTTTCCTTTTCCTTTTTCAAGCTCCTTAGTCTACCAGTGCTTTTTCCTCTTAATTACTCTGTGTTCAAGATTTTGAATGCTGAAGACTAGAAAAGGTTGTTGCAGAACTAATTTTCATTTTGCAGAATTTAGTGAGATATAAAGTTAGATGTATTCTTGATACTTAATAAATGTGTCAATTTATCTCTATGAATAATCTTTTAAAATGGTGAAATATTTCTTTTGATATTTAAGTTACTGTTTTTAAGTTTTTAGAAATAATTATAGCAATAATTTAAAAAAGGATAAATTATAGAATGAAATTGTGCATAGATATGAATTTTAAACAGCACAATTATTGTGGTCTAAGCTTTCTAAGCTTTTAGATATTTTGTGAATATCCTTATCAGATGTCCTCAATTGGAAAATATAGTTGTACATACCCTAACTGTATATAATTTAGGGACAGAATATTTTAAGGCTTATCTGTTACTGAATGAAACCTTGCAGAAGTATTAAAATCATTAGTTAGAATATGGGATAATACCATTTTCTCCATTGGCTCTCTGTTTCAAATCTTTTGACAGCCAGCCTGTTTTTGAGATGCATTTCCTTGCATATTTGTCTCTGCTAATCAGAACTATTTTTGGTTTTCTGCTACTTAAAGAACTGGCATTAAGCATTTAATTACATTATTCTTTTTTTATTTGTGCCCCAGTTTTTTTATTTGTGCCCCACTTATCTCACCTTTTATGGGTAGAAAGGTAGCCGCCTCTTGCATTTCATGATGAAATGAAAAATGCATAATAAATGAATCCCATAATCCTATAAATAACGTTAGTCTGGAGATAATATTGCTGAACTACTCCACACTAATACTATTTACTTTCGATTAAATAGTTTTTGTTTCATAAAAGCATAATAAACAAACAAACAAATAAATAAATAACTTGTTTTCTAACAGACATAAAGTCTTTTTGCTTAATATACATACAGGACAATTAAATTGCAATAGGAATGTGCAGCGGTATTTATATGGATTATGTCATGTTATATATAACCTTTACAGATTACAGTACAGGAATTATCTGAAGGCTGTTTCTGGGTGAAAGCTAAGGAGGATCGTTATGAGAACGATGATCTTTTTGCCAAGCTAACACTTTGTTTCTCAACTGCACAGACCAAATGTAAGTAATGCAACAAAAAGTAAGGAATGTGAGATTGGCAGGTATATAATTTAACAAATAAATAAAGTAATAACTTCATTGATGTACACTAAAGACAGAAATGTGTTAAGAATGGTTTATGCTTTTGTGGGAAAAATAAATTGAGCTCGCAGCAGGGCCAGGGGCAGCTGAAAATTAGGAAGGTCACACTCGTCCAACAAATTTCCTTAGCCAAAATAGACTTTTAGGAATAGACTGTTGCTTTACACACACTTCTAAATGGTGCCCTCATGTGGCAGCAGGAAGGGACATCAGATCAAACTCATCACAATACTCACCCTATATGGCGCCCTGTCATCACCTGGTTGCAGCTTGAAGATGGTGAATTTTCTGATGCCAATTTCTGTAGAATCAAAACAGGACCCAAAGCAAAAAATCAAGCTCACTGTAGTGTTTATTAGATAATACTACTGGAGAGGATCTCCTTTAAAACAATAGTAAGAGACATACACCTGCAGACAAAAAGATGCATTCTTTTATACATGTCAGAATGGAGGGGGAAATGAACATGCCTATATGTTCATGAGTGTTAGTGTAATAGATCTCAGTTTACTTTCTGCTCTTCTGTTATCTACAGAGAACAGTCTTAGAAGAAATATTTCCATCTTGATATTCCGTGATTGGATAAAGATTAAAACTTAACCATGGGGCCACTGTGAGCTGCAAGGCCACATTTCTTATGTCTCAGTTTGTTTATTAAACACTCCCATTCCTCTGAAAGTGCATTTTGTAATCAACGAAGTTACCATTCCATATTAACATAAACCCATATCCATAAAATCCCTACAGTATATTTACATTGCTTGGATGTGTAGGTGTTCTTGATACAGATGTGCTTTTTGTCTATTGAGAAGTAAACTTGTCTGTTACTTTCAAATTACATGTTACATCATTTCCATTTGGTTCATCTTCAAAACCTCCTAGATGCACCTGGAAAACACATACATTATTTGCAAAGTAGATTGCCTTACTACGCAACCCTAAGTTCAGATTATTTTAAAATGTTAAAATTAATTCAGGGAATATTTGTGGCTCAGGGTTGACCTGTGGGATCTTTGGTGGTCTTTGAGCTTGGTTATTTTCTTGCAGGTGTTTTATTACCCAACTAGGTAACATCATCAGCATTATTAATACCTAGTCAGGTAATGAAATGTCTGCAAGAAAACAACCAAGCTCAAAGACCACAATTAATTTCAATCATACACACTATATATATTCTCTGTATAATATATATGGTTTCCCAAATTTATCATTGAGTAATATAAATATTTCATATGTATCTATTCATGTCTTATTTTGTTTATAACATCTGTTTTTTCAGTATTAGATATTTATAATATAAGCCAAGTAAACTGTGTGCACAATTATTAGGCGAGTGCCATATCATCATTTTAATGCATATTTTCCACTTCCAAGCTGTATAAACTCGAATGCTTAGTGGATATAAGCATACCTGGTGGTGTATATTTGTGTAATGAGGGAGGGTGTGGCCTAAGGAGATCAATACCCTATATCTAAGTGTGCATAATTATTAGGTTTATCTTTTCTTGAGGTCCATTTCAGCAAGGTGGAGTGGTATGGGCTGGTATTATTAAAGATGAGCTAGTTGGTATTTTTGCATTGAAAATGGACCCAAAATCAACTCCCAAACCAGCTGTCAGTGTTTAGAAGACACTTCAAGCAGTGGTACAGGAAAAAGTCTGCCTCTTTCAAGAAGACCATGATTTTTATGCAGGATAATGCTCCATTGCATGTATCGAAGTACTCCACTATGTTGCTAGCCTTAAAGATGACCTTAAAGATGAAATAATAAGGGATGTCAACTCATAAAACATTTTGTATACATGTTTTATGGTTGACAACAGAAAGAAGGGGTGGGGGAGTTTCAAAGAGCAGGAGAAATTTCCCAACAGGGAGAACAATTAACTAGTGTAATGGCTTATCTTCAGAAGTTGTGGGTTAGAGTTGACAAAATGATTGTTGCATCATTGTGACACAAGTCTTCTTTTTTTATACTTATGTTTTATGTTGTATGCACATACATAAACGACAACTTAAATTGCAGCTTTCCAATACACATTTTGCTATTCTGAAAGAAATGTTTCATAAATCTGACAAAAATATCAGATTCTGCAAATCCCTCTGAGAAACACCTAAGAATATGACAAATCATATTTAAAATGAGAACTTTAAATCATAGAATAAGGAGGGATTTTCAGGTTTGTTGGGTAATTTATTGGATTACTGGTTTGAAAGTAGCAAAAGAATAGTCATAAAATCCATGGCCAAATTCCCCAAGGGTTACTAACAATCAAAAAGATATAGAGAAAAATAAATGTATTTAAATACATTTTATTTATTTCTTTATCAATCTCTATGCAACCTTGGTCATTAAGTAATTTTTTGGCAATTGTTGTTAAGGTCATTCTTAAAAATTCTAGACAAGATTCCAAAAGCAAAGCAAGGACAAAGATCCAAGTTTAGATAGCAAAGGATTTATACACCAAGGCGAGTATCCAGGCAGTCACAAATAAAGGATAACCCATATCACAAACTACAAATATTACTCTATTAATATCTACTTTATAAAGCAGATATCTTGCAGGCATATAGGGCATTAACTCAACCGGTACAAATCTAGTCAAATATAGTTGCAAGGTTGCCCAAGCATTCTGGATTGTTTTGAGGAAAAAAAAAATTCTTAATGATCTTTTCCTTGACATGCAAGCACTTTGGTGCCTTCCTGTTTCTGCTATTTAGCTTGTGGTATTGATTCACAATGGGCTTAGGGCTTTGGATAGGGATTTTTTTTTTCCATTTATTAGGTTTATGTCCCATCTTTCTTCAAGTGCTCAGAGCAGCTTCCATTATGATCTCTCTTCATTTTATCCTCACAACCACAACTGTAAGTAGAGTAGAGTAGAGTAGAGTAGAGTAGAGTAGAATAGAATAGAATAGAATAGAATAGAATAGAATAGAATAGAACAGAACAGAACAGAACAGAACAGAACAGAACAGAAGTCAATCTCATTTCCCTAGAGTAGAAGCTAGCTCAATTGTAGGAGAAGATGTGATGGAACAGTTTGACCTTTTAAGAGTTGGTATCAGATAAAGCTGGGTTACTCTAAATCCATGCAGGAAATTGACTGCCTGGCATCCCTGATAGCCATTTTTCACTATAAATAACTATCTTCCTCTAATACATTCTGTGAAAAAATGATCTCTTGATAATTTTTGATTAGTTTCTTGAGCAAACTAATGGAAGATAAGTAAATCAATTCCTTTTGGAGCCAAAAAGGATATAAATTTAAAATTTATTGGTGCACTAGGGACAAGTCATAGAAAGATATATAAAATCATCCATCTATTTAAAGCATACTAAATGAGATAGCTCTATACAATTGATTAAAATGATTAAATTATGCAAATAGTAAATTATTCAATGGTATGTATTGGCAGTGTAGATATCAGTAGCTTTTGGGATCAACCACTAATAGTAAAGGAATCAGCAGTCAAAAAATATACTGCAGATTAGCACTTGACAGAGGACTGGAGCCATCAAAAAGGCACTAGTGAATGACTTCCATTGACAACCTTTTTCATTCTCAACTGCTCTCTTTGGACTATCAGAAAATTTTCCTAGTATTTCATCTCTAAATTCTTTGTCTTAACCTTTTAAAATTAAACTGAGTCTCCATGTATTTTCATTCTTCTCTTTGAAATACAGAAACAAGGTTGCTGTACTTCATAGCTATTTTCAGATATTCAAATGTTAATTTTACTGCAATTTTTCTTCAAGCTGAACCTAGCCAATACCTTTGCCTATGTTCATACAATTTGGTCCTCAGTTCCTTCTTGCTTTGTATCAAGCTGAGTTTTAATCAATGCTTTACTACCTCGGCAGTATCTGTTCTGTAAAACATGCAAAATATTTGTAAATAATAACTTCTATTCATATAAAACAAACCAGCATATACTAGCTGCTCATAATATCACCTTCTGCATATGTTTTCTTAATGTAGTTGTATATTTGTGTTGTGTATGTACTAATTTATGTTTGGGAAATTAAGGCCCTAATTTTTCATGTAGAAAATAACTTGAAAGATTATATGAATATGAATATTACAAAAATATGTTCTGCAAGATTCATATATTCCAAACAAATTCCATAAAACCTAACTAGCTTAATTAAAATTAGAATTCAGACAGTTTAGACCAGAGCATCTCAAACCTTGAGTAAATTATCCAAAATTGGGTGAAAGTGTTTTTTCTTTGGGTAACAACACACAAACCAGTCAAAACAGGGACATTTAAATAAAGATATTTTGATAAACTATAAAAAGAACATTCCAATAAGCAGTTTTGGATAATGAGAGAAAAGATTTAGGAAGCACTAGTTTAGACTTAAGTCTGATTTTCTTCAGTTATCTGCTTTTCTATTTTTTTTTATTCTGTTGCTTTCTAAAATCCGCACTTTGCTTTCTAATTATCTCTTCATCCTAGAACCCTCTGAAACTCATTTGCTGATATTTTTCCTGTCTGATCTTTCTTTACACATTGTCTTAGGGTGCCCACTTTTAGTTTTACTTGCTTATGATTGAACAGTTTTGTTTCTGTTATAATTTAAAATCAGTCACTTGTCCTTTCAACCTCTCCCTTTTATTTTCTCATAAGAAGGAAGAAGTTAATCATTACACATAGTCCTCGATTTACGATTTACAATCACAATGGAGCCCAAAATTTATGTTGCTAAGCAAGACATTTGTTAAATGAGTTTTGCCCCATTTTACAATTTTTCTTGTCACATTTGTTAAATGAATCACTGCAGTTGTTAAATTAGTAACGTCATTGTTAAGTGAATCTGGTTTCCTCATTGACTTGGCTTGTCAGAAAGAGGATCACATGATCCCGGGGCACTTCAGCCATCATAAATATGAGTCAGTTGCCAAGTGTCTGAATTT